ACAATATTAACTAAAATATAACTTATGTAAGTATAGAATTTAGTGGAAGATGGGTCGAAGAAAGCTTAGTACATTAATTTCCTCATGTTTCCTATCACAGGTGTCAGAAGCCACTATTTACATTTTCTCCCTCAGGGCAGCATCATGGCTGTGCATACAAGTTCATTGTCAGAAAGACTCAGAGGACATAAATATACTTTAGTCTGTATACTGACAGATATACTAAATATACTGCTGACAGTATGGGCCCCATAGCTCTTTGTTGTGGGGGCCGGCCTGGACCCTATAGGATGTTTTAGCAGCATCCCTGGCTTCCTCCCACTAGAGGTCAGCAGCCTCCTCTCTCAGTTGTAACAACCAGCCGTGTCTCCGGACTATGACAAATGTTCCCTGTGACAGTTTGGGAGATGGAAATTGTTCTGGTTGGGCACCCCTGGCCTCACACTACATTGTACTTAGCCTCACAGGACGCAGTGAGGGGACACAGCAGCACCATTGTATTAGGCGCCCAGCAGCTACCCAGGCACATACTTCGTGTGTCCTCCCTACCACACGGGGTACTTGTGGCTGCCACAGATGAGAGCCATGTGGGTCCCCTAGACCCATCCTTACCACCCTTACTTCTTGCCAGTATTTTACTCCCCTCTAGACCCAGAGGCCCCGGGCATATATGCCAACAGCTTCCCCAACCCACGTGAAGTTCCACACAACCCATGAGGCCTACCCCCTCATTCCCTGTTTTCCTTTACTCTTTCAGAGGGCACAGTGCAGTTCCATGTGAACCCTCTACTCACAAGAAGATAAATAATTGCATTATTTAGGGTTGTATGAATATATACTTACTCCAAAAAAAAAAAATTGAAGAAACATTTTAAGACTTGACCCAATTCAAATACATTGGCGATCTTCCTAATTATTAAAACTGGAGACTGGGAGTGGCAGAAATTCTGAGATTTTGGGCTTCTGTTTTAGGCACTACTATGGCTATTTGAAATTTTGTGAACTATGTACTTTTGTTGACAAAAGTTAATGTACAAAACTGGCTTTATTAAAAACACACATAACTTTTTTATTGAGATAAAATTGGTATATAAATTATGTAAGTTATGCATACAACATTATAATTTGAGATCTGTCTGAAGTATAAAGTGATCACCATCCAAAGTCTAGCTACCATCTGCCACTGTTTCATTAACCCCCTTTCCCCATTTTGCCCGCCCCCCCAAATTCCTCCCGTATTGGACTAGTGCTTTTTATGTGACATGACCACAGTTTTCTTCATGTATGCTTTTTTTTAAGTTTATTTATTTATTTTGAGAGAGACAGAGCACAATCAGGGGAGGGGTGGGAAGAGAGAGAGAGGAGCGGGGGAGAGAGAAAGAAAGAGATTGAGAATCCCAAGCAGGCTCTACACTGTCAGCATAGAGCCCGACGCGGGGCTCGATCCCATGAGCTGTGAGATCATGACTTGAGCTGAAATAGTTAGACGCTTAACTGACTGAGCCACCCAGGCACCCTCATGTATCCTTCTTTATGTTTCTTTCTTTAGCAAAACTGACTCTGTTGTGAGAGAAACCACAAACAATACATTTGTTTTGTGGCAGTGCTATTATTTTCTCTTTAAAAATGCCAGAAATGGATAAGAATCATGCCTTCTGGAAAGTTCTAAAGGTTCTACCTTGGCTATTTCTAGAATTTTCTGTTTGAAATTTTAGTCTATAAGAAACGGATTGAGTTAATTCTAAAATAAGCCATCAAATTTGGACTGAATAGTTAGCTCCTTGGCTATATATATGCCTCTGAATATGCATCTTCTATATACTTTGTAATGTATCTGTGGCTGTTAGATATCTATTAAGTTTGTCACACAGTATATGTAGATCTAGAAATGAACGGGCCTGTTGAGAAAATGTCAAGTATCTAATAAGTGTATAATATCAGAAATGGAGTTCTTTGTCATTATGAGCTCACAGATGGAAGGGGAGGAGGAAAACCCGCTAAGGGCAGGTGCAGATAAAAAAAAAGAAAAAGAAAAATATCCTTGGCAGGGGGTGAAAGAAAGACAGATATTGAAAGAGGGGAAGTGGTGGGGCGCCTGGGTGGCGCAGTCGGTTAAGCGTCCGACTTCAGCCAGGTCACGATCTCACGGTCCGTGAGTTCGAGCCCCGCGTCGGGCTCTGGGCTGATGGCTCAGAGCCTGGAGCCTGTTTCCAATTCTGTGTCTCCCTCTCTCTCTGCCCCTCGCCTGTTCATGCTCTGTCTCTCTCTGTCCCAAAAATAAATAAACGTTGAAAAAAAAAAAAA